GGTACCTGAATACCCTTTGACATTATCAGAGACATTTCAAATTGCAAAAGATGCTTGCACTCTGACGTCTAGAAATCTTTTTGACTGGCTGTGCCTAGTCTTCAGAAACTGGTTTATAATTTGCTCCCACCACTAACTTTGTTTTTCTTTTCATCTTATTAAATACCTGGTCACTTGTTTACATGATATAGGCCTAATCTTGGGAGCCCACCTGTATCACCGTCTTACTAAGAGACTGGTTCAATGAGATGGAACAACCTATGCCCCTCATCAACAGGATGTCCCTCAAGATTGAGGATGAACAACAAAAGGGGGGAATTGGTACTGGCTCAACACAAGGTTGACATAAAGGAAGCCATATTGTAGAAGAGAAAACATTATAACTTTGAATGACCTCTGATTAACTAACCCTAACTCTGATTAACAGACATGTTCTATAAATTTTATGGCTCCTGCCAGCTGCTGTAAGTTGATAACCTTGTTCTTTTGAGTTCCTTAGGAATGTGATGACCCCAAGGCAGAAAGTCTATGCTGATAGCCATCGTCACTGACAACTGAAAGATCAGGGTATGGGACATTGCTCCATCTCTGATGCATATCCAGTAAAACAAAAGACTATCAGGAACTAAGACAAGATGTCTGCCCTCCACCCCCTGGAGACCAGCTGCCTCTTCCATCCAGAGACCAGCCCTGTACATAACTGGCCTGTCATCTTTGTTCTGTAAGATCGTTTTTTTCCAGACAGGAGTCAGCCATCTTCCCTCTTGCTAGCAAGCTGTAATAAAAAGTCCTTTCTTTCCTACAGCCTTGCCTCTTGACTAGTGGCATGTCTTGCGTTAGGTAGATGACCCCCCTCTTTGGGCGGTAACAACTGTGCTGAGTACATTGCCTGCTGCATCTCACCCTTCCTTAGGAGGTAGATAGTATTATTATTCCCATTATACAGATGGAAAAACAGGCTCATAGAAGTGTAGTAACATGGTTAAGATTGCATTGCTACTAAGTGGTAGAACCAGGATTTAGACCCAGGTCTGCCCGACCCCAAGCCCTTAGCTTGTAGATGACTGGGCGTGAGAACTATCCAGGAGCAAATCACGTGGACAAAGCTGGCATCAAGGAGCTTGGGCCTAGACTGAGGTTTCAAGCTAGGTCTGGGAAGGGGTACAAGGCAAGAGGGGAGAAGTCAAAAAAGCTGAAGGCTGGGTTGGGTGGTTTCCTGAGGAACTGGTGTGGTCAGAGAGGCCTTTTGTGGGGAAGTTTCAGCCCTGTAAGACTGTTCAGGGCCCTAGGGAGCAGAGAGGTCTGGCAGGCACAAGAGAACCCTGCACCGGATGAAGTGACTCACCGTGATGTCACACCACACCCTGCGGGGGTAATCCCCGAGATCTGAATGTCACACCAAGTTGAAGGAAGTGCACGTTTAAGGAACCGTTATTAGCTCAGTCCCTGGAGAGGGAATGAACAGGCTTATTAGCACTGAATGCACAAATGCTTTGACTCTAGGCCCTCCCCCTGCTTCCGTGTCTGGGTGACAAGACCCCTTAAGACAGAAGACTTAGAGGACTGGAGGAGCCACACTGTGAGACCTGGTCAGGGATTTTGACCTGCGAGGGATTTTGCAGTGGCAGGGGCCACAGGCTGCTAACGTGGGTCCGTTGTGTGACCTCCAGTGGAAGGTCGTGGAAGTCAGGGCTGCTCCCTGAGCCTGCTTCCAACTGCAGTATAAGGATAATAACACTCACCCCACCCACCTCACAGGGGTGAGTGAAGTCACTGTAAAACATCGAGGCCCCATAGGAGCAGTAACGTTTGCGAGGGATTGGAGGGGCAGTGACAGAAAAGCCTTGATGCCCCAGAGGAAGCCGTTGAGAGCTCCGCTCGGCCCAGGGGGCTGGTGAGGCTGGTTCCATTCCAGGATGGGTGTGAGAGGCCTTTGCTCTAGGGCTCCCCCCACCTCCGAGAATATGGGGATGTTAAATAAGAGTATGTAAAACAACAAGGCTTCCCAGAGCAAGCCCCAAGCCAAATCCTCTCCCAGTGGAATGCTCTACTGGAGCGTCTGTTCCTGAGGTGTCTCTGGGAATCTGTGAAGAGACTATTTGGGGTTGGATTCAGCAGACAGAGGTTCAAATCTCAGTTCTCCCATTTATGAGCGGAAGCCAACCCCTGACATTCGCTTTCTTCATACAATAGAATGTACGATAGAATAGCACTACCTGTTCCACGTGGTCGTTGTGAATATCATGTAGGAAAGAGTCGGGCAGAACACATTTGGTGCTGGATAAATACTGGACGAATTTGGATGCACAGTTGAACTCCTTTCTCCACTTGGGTTGTTCCCCCCGGCAGTGGGAGGAGAGGAAGGGTGAGGGGAGGGGAACGATGATTTATGGGAACTCTGCAGGGAGGACTGTGTGTGCTCTCTCTGTGGAAACTGTCTACCCTCCCAGCTGCCCTGTGAAGTGTGCGTTATGCTCCTTTTACAAACGAGGCACCTGGAGCTCAGAGAGGGGAAGCTGTCTACCCAAGGTCTTACCTTTTGAACCTAGGCCTCACACCAAAATCTATGCCCTTTATATAATCCAACACCCCCAATCTATTCAAATCTACAATTATTTTCTCACTTACAGTGTGAGAAAATCTCAAGGTAGAAAATACATGCAGACGAGAGAAGTTTCAAACACAATCTCATATTGTTCAATCACTCTGCTGTCACCTGCACCCCCAGGCCTTGGTTGGAGAAGCATAAAATCAGAGTACAGGAGACCTTAGAGACCATCCCATCCAGCCCCTCCCTCTAGAGGGGAGGAAACTGAACTCCAGAACATGAAGTTCCCAACGTCACCCTGTTAGAGGCCTGAGATCCTGAGGGACAGCCCTGCGCTCTTTCCTGAGCCACCCGCCTCCCTGGGAAGCACAGGGCTTCTCCTCCCCTCCTCTGAGCCCCTTTCTAGAAGCAGGTGTCGGAGACACAACATTAAGGACAGTGGGGCACATCACTGCATTTTCCTTTGCACTGGACAGCTGGTCCACTGGACCACCACTTTCTTCTTCCAGATCTAGGACATTTGATTCCTAAGAAATTGTTTCCATAGAATGTGGAAATGAAAAATCCTTTTGCTAAAAAGACTGGGGAGGGAAGGAAGGGTGTAGCCTGGAAAAACAGGACCATGCCCTGAGCTCCATGATTGTAATCAAGAGCTTATCTGCCTGGGCCCTGGTTCCTTCCCCGCTGCCCCGGGTCAGAGCTCGGCCATCAGGCTGGGGGCTCCTGCATTCTGCACTTCCCATCCCCCAAACAGCCCTTCTTCCTTTGGTCCTCGGCCCTCCTGCTCCCTGAACCTTCCATCCCTCTAGCTCTCTTCTTATTCTTCTTATGCTGTTTGCTCATATTCTATACGTTAATACGGTCTTGAGCATTCTGTTCTTTTTCGAGGCTGTGCTGCTTCATGGAGTAAGAATTTGCTCAGGAATCTGACACACTGGGTTTAAAAACCAATTCTTCCACTGACTGGCTGTGCGACTCAGGGGGCTCAGTCTCTGGACCTGTTTCCTCGTCTGTAAATGGGGAGAATAACATGTCTTTGGCAGGTCTTGTGTCAGAATCAACCAAATAGCATCTGTTCAAGGATTTTGCACATTGTAAGGGCACAACAGATTGTCCCTCTTCTTCTAGCAGGTGGATTATTCCAGGTCTTACCCTCCTGCTAAGTCCAGCCGTAGCGTCCCAGGAGTCCACTAGGATGTGACCCAGAGGTCTGTCCTGGTATTGCCAGCACCTCTCTGTCCCTGCATGTGGCAGAGGGACCCTGCTACAGCCCAATTTTACGGCACCACCCCTGTTTGGAGCCAGACTGGGCATGCCTCCAAAGCCATAATAATTTTCAGGGTGCAATTACTCATCAGAGCCCAGAAGCTCACAGAGGCCCCAGAGGAAAGAGTGACAGAGTGGAAAAGAAATGTGCCTTGGAAACTTGAGTCCAACTTTCTGCTGTGTCACTAACTCTATGTCCTTGGGCAAATCACTTAGGTCCTTTTATTTCAACTGTGGAAAAGTATTAGAAATTTCTCCCTTCCCTCCTCCCCTCACCACCACTTTTCTTCAAGAAACATGTACCAGGCATCTAGGCACTGGAGATACAAAAGTGAATAGAAACAGGTAAAATTCCTCCATGATGGTATCACTGAACTCATGATCTGGTGAGGCACACATATGTTAAATAGATAAGTGCAGAATTCCTCCCCTGAGGAGCGCTCTACAGGAGAGGCTCCGGGGCCAGTCTAAGGTGGGATTCGACCTAGTCAGGGAGGTCAGGGAACGCTTTTGATGAAGCCGTGACTGCACAGAGATCTGAAGGACAAGGAGGCAGTCACCGGTTAAGACAGGGGGGAAGAGACGCCAGGCGGAAGACAGGCTCAGTGTAAAGACCGGTAGTAGGAGGGGACGAGGGGTGTTGGAGAAGCTGGAAGAAGGACACTGGAATGCTGGGTGGAGAGTGGGGGCGGTAGTGCCTGGAGGGGACAGAAGATGCAAGGCCTTGTAGGCCTTGCTAAGGATTTTGTCTTTAGTCTCCTAAGAGCAGCGGGAAGCCCCAGAATGGTTTTAAAAGGAGGGGATGGACACTCAATAAGTAGTTGTTGGAAGAATGAACGAGTCCGTTAGCACCTTATTTCCCCATTCATTTAACAGATTAAGTTGTCGGTCATTTAGCAAGAGCGTGAATATTTGGGACACAGCAGAGGACATTTTGATAGGCAAAGGGCATAGGGAAAATCTGGAAAGTAACGTGCTGAATTCAGGCCTAGACACTGGGTCACGGTGGGGTCCCTGGGCCCCTTGGGGGAGCTCAGGGCACTGGGCACATGGCATCAGGTATCCTGGGAAAGGGACGGAGAATATTCCAGTGTCTTTAACAGCAAAGATACTTAGCCTACTGCATAATTGGGATCAGGCCTAGCCATTCCTGGATACATTGTGGGTGGCAAAGAGGAAAACCTAGCGATTGTTCAGGGCCTTTACTGAGCCAGTCATGCCCCCTAACCCAACGGGGAGGAGCCCGTTATCTGACACAGTAAAATGCATATGCCTGTAACTGAAATTCAGTTCAACCCTGTGGCTCATAGAGATAATTTATGTCAATGTAACCTGACTTTCCATTATCTCATGGAATTAAATCCAGGACTGCCTGCCTGCCTGCCTGACCATGGCAGGTAATTGCATGATGTAGATATTTGCTGTTTGATCACAGTCAAGTTGCTTAGGCATGGTGAAGCCTAATTTCTGAATCTGTGATTTGGGAATAATGATACCTTTTTCACTGGGTTAAATGAGAGAATATATGTGCCATGCTCGGTATAGTGTCTGGTCCTGTGGCAGCAGCTATTATTATGGCAATTATTCTGCATGTGTGATATAACTATAAAGCTTCGATAGGGACCAGGAAAGTAATATAATCAACAGCAGGGCAGGCAGTAAGATACAATAGGGAGTGGTGGGGACTGTGGTAAACTGGAGAATCCTTGCCTGCCCGAAGTGGGCAGCAGCTCCTCAGCTTCAGCCACTGGCTGCTGGGTGAGAACTCAGAACAAGTGTTGTCTGACTTTCCCAGAAATGCTAAGAACCCTAATTTATAATTTTGGTATTCAATTCAAATTAAAACCACAAAAAATAACAACCACCAAAACTAACAACATTCTGGGACACACCAACAGGTCTTGGAGCAAAGCTGGACTGAAGGAAGCTAAAACAAAGCTTCACAAAGGCCAACTGTTCTCAGGAGTCAGATTTCCCCCATAGATAGGACTCTAAAAGCAGGTGAAAGGCCATGAAGGCAGGCCCAAAGGAAGCGCTCCTCACACGTTCTGTGAAATGGCAGTGTTGTTAGAACATGCAGACATCAACCTCCCTCAGGTAGGGTTTTGAGGACAACACTCTTTTAGCTTCTATGAGGACAGTTAGTCAAAGACAACACCAGCCTTGTATGCTCCCAGCCCAGGAAGTGAGCTCCTGGGAGCCTGAGGGTGTTTCTGGAGCTGCTCTTAGAGGCCTTAAGGGGAGCGATACCACCAACGTCCACTGGGCGTCTCTCTCATACAAATGATGGCATTGCCGTCCCCACTTCCATAGGAAATGGCAGGCCTGGGACCCAGCGGGATGCAAGGCCAGTGCAGTCCTCCATGGGGGGATTCCTGGGGCTCAGCTCTTCACAGTGGCGTGACTACCTGTTAAATGTTTACAGAAGCCAAACCTGGATTTTAAAGGACAGCTCTCCTGCCAGCCAGCCAGCCAGCCGGCCAGCCAGCCAGCCAGCCTGTAGTCTTTCCTGCTCACAGAAAGGAGATCTTGGAGATCTTCTTTGCACACTAGGATTTCATGAGGGTCTTAAGAGTTTCTGTGCAGGTCAGCCCGGTTGCTTTCCACACCCAGTGTCTCTCTTAGACAGCAGCACCAAGGGACCTGCTGCCTCCTTCCCTGATGGGGCCCAACAAGAAGCATATTCTGGACTTCAAGGATTGCCCTTCTGGGAACAGCTTTGTCTGGTCAAAAAGCCCAAGCTTAGAGGTCAAAGGTCTGGGTTTAGGTTCTGGTTCTGCCACTTACTAGCTGTGTGACCTTGGGCAAGTCTTCTCTTTTCTGGTCCTCAGTTTCCTCATCTGTAAAATAGGACACATACTAATCTCAAAAATCGTTTCAAGTCTTCAAGTCTTCATTCCTATGTGTGTGAAACACTTTAAAAACTGGAACCCCTGTGAGTCATTTCTATTAGTACTTTAGAGCAGGGCCTGGCAAATGTTTCCTGGAAAGGGACAGATAGTAAACATTTCAGGCTTTGTGGGCCTTAGAGCCTCTGTGGCAACCACTCGATTCTGCTATTGTAGCAGGAAAGCGACCACAGACAAGACGTAAACAAACGAGCTTGGCTGTGTCCCAGCAAAACTTGATTTTACAGAAACAGGCAGAGGCTAGAGTTGCTCCTTTGCCCACCCTAACAGCCTGTTTTTGTAAGGCCTGTGAGCTAAGAATGGTTTTAACATTTCTAAAGGGTTGTAAGAAACAAACAAGGAAGAATAGGTGACAGAGAGCAGACCGTATGTGGCTCACAAAGACCACAGTATTTGCCATGTGGCTCTTCACAGAAGTTGGCTGACCCCTGCTCTGGAGTGTCCCAGGCATGTCTTAGCCCAGGAGACAGGCAGCTCTGTCCCTGAGTGTGGTGAGACCTGACTGGTTAGTCACAAAAAGACAGGCAGGAACCAGGAGGCCCCTGGGGCCCGTACAGCTGCAGGGCCTAGGACTCTGAGTCACCCTTGTGATGGAGCTCCGGGGCTGGAGGGGTAGGAGAACGTGGCCCCCTAGTTCTCTTTTCAGACGTCTGTTTTGGATGGGCCTTAGGAAAGATGATCAGAAAAGATTCCATTAGAGAATGAACCAGCAATCAAGTAAAAGGGGCTTCCGTTTCCTGAGTCGTTTCTAGTGTGTGAGCCTGTGCTTTCATCTGGAACTGCTGGGTTCTTGTGAACAGGAACACTGAGTCATGAGAGAGCCCAGGACTTCCGCCCACCTGGGGAGTCAGAGGGCTCTGACACGGAGACCAGATAAGGGGTCCTTGGCTCAGGGACCTGCCCCAGAGCCAAGCTGCTGCTTCTTGGTTCTAGATTTGGTCACACACGTGAGCAGAGGCAGCAGGTACCCAGCCCAGAGAAACAGTCCCCAAGGAAAAGAGAGAGAAAACCTGACTAAGGAAAGCCAGGTGCACCAGTGAAAGCACGGCCCACATAACAATGCCTTCTCTGGGGGGGCCTGGAGCCTGCATCCTTGGAAGCATCTCTGTTGGTGTGTGTACTGGACAGGGGAGAGCGGGGTATGTCACAGTTGTTGTGGCTCTGTTTTCACTCCTTTCCCCTCCCCAGGTCTCCTCCCACTGACCCCCAGACAAGATGCTGTTAGGTTAACAGGGGCTGCTTGGCCCCACTGAGTTCCCCTGTCCACTATCAGAAACTGGTGGTTCCTCCCAGTAGTATTATGGCTCCAAGGAGCCCAGGATGGACCTGGTGCCACTCAGACCCACGAGGTCTCCGGGCAGCGCCTCCCTTCACTTTCTTAAGTCATATCATGGCAGCTCTGGGTCTCTTGGGAAGGGTCCTGGAAAAAAGATTATGTCATTTATTACTTTTTGTGACTAAAAGTAATTGATATTTACCGCAGAAAATTTGGAAAATATAGACATGTGTAAAGAAGAGACTGTAGTGATTTTAGACTCTGATTAATTCAGGAAACAATTATTTAATGGAGTACCTACTACGTGCCAGGCACTGTTCTCAGTGCTGGGGATCCTGCTGTGAACAACACAAAGTGCCTGCCCTCGTGGAGCTTCTATCCCAGCAGAGGGGGCAGGAGAGCAGGGGAGGGACCAGAGGCTGATGGAACAGGGCCCCAACTTTGGTAGGTGGTGAGGAAAAGTGGAAGCAAGTGAGGTGGGCATCTGGGAAGAGTGTTTCAGGCAGAAGGAACAGGAGCACCTTGGTGTTGGGTAAGAGCCTGCCCAGTGTGTTCAGGGACGTGAAGGAGGCCACTGTGGCTACAGCAGATGAGCAAGGGGGAGGGTGGAAGGAGACGAGTTGGGGGCAGCTGGCAAGGACGTGTGGGGACTTGTAGGCCAGGTGAGGACCTTGGATTGTTAGTGAGTGAAATGCAAATCCAATGTAGGCTCTCGAACAGAAGAATGACCTAACCGACCTTACATCTTGAAAGAATCATTCTGGACACTGGATGGGAAACAGACAGGGGCTGGGGCTGGGGGCTGGCAAGGGTGGAAGCTGGAACCAGTTGGGTTATTGCAACAGTGCAGGGGAGAAAAAAGTTTCCTGACCCTCTTAGCGTCCCTGGCTGGGTCTGAAAATTAAACAAAGACAGATCAACAGGAGAAAAGCACCCAAATTGTATTGAATTTTTACATGTCCCTGGGAGCCTTCACAAGAGAATGAAGACCCGAAGAAGTGACCAGAGCAGGAAGCTTTTATACGGTTTAGACAAAGAAACAATAAATCTGTGAAGAGTTGACAAGACAAAGGGCTTTGGGCTCAGGGAGGTGAGTGGAGAAGAGGTAAGCAGGTTTGTTTATACAGCCTTGTCGGCCCTAAATTTCTTGTCTCTGGTGATAAGGATGTCTTCCTTCCTCCTGGTACAGGGAGGGTACCTTCCACATGGGAGATTTATCTCCTGCTTTCAGAGGGACAAAGGAGGGTCAGAATGTCTTTCTTGCACCAGCTGTTTCTTAAGCACTTTTAATTCAAAATACTCAATATGCCAAGGAGGCATATTTTGGAGTGATGTGTTCTGCTCCTCGTCAATGGTAATACAAGGTGTAACAGTGGAGAGAGCCACCCTGGTTGAAGGAGTGGAGGTAGAGGGGGGCCTGAAGCTCCTCCCTGTGGGCTGCTGCTCTTTCCTCTCTGTGGTCTCTGAGGTTTCACTGTGGAACCTCAGGGTGCCTGGGAGCACAGTTTGAAAACCATTGGACTGGAGGGTCTCTAAGGTCCCTTCTGGTTCTGGGCTCCTGTGATCTCGTGATCTGGCTCATTAGGTTGTATTAGGCCCAAACTTGACTCTCTGGGAGCAGGCCTGGTCTCCATCATCCAGGCCTCTGAAAATGTCAACTTGAAAACGGGACAGGTTCCAAGGTCCAGGAAGCGGAGAGATTTTGAAAATTAATTCAACTCCCATATATAGAATGCGGTCAGCCCTGTGTAAGGACTATAAAGATGAGTAAAACGGAGCATCTGCCCTAAGAAACTCATCGGCTGGGATGGGAGCTGGGAAGTCACACAAATGACCAAGTGCACCGTGTAAGGGGTCTGTGGCCCCCTCGCCTTGCTTTCTTCTATGTGCCCCTGGGCCAGTGGTTCCCCAGCTGGGCTGGTCATGAGGTCACCAGGGGAACTTGAGACTAGACCAGCTCCCAGAGGGCTCCTTCAGAGATTCTGATTCAGTTGGCCCAAGGGACCAGGGGATC